AAAATAGAGAATTTATATAGACTGATGTTACAAGGATAATGAGTGGATGCATGAGCCCCACTGTTTGCGCCACCCCAGCTATATCGCTGTGTCTCTAAACATCGGTGACCATGATGTTGGGGTCCCCATCCAGGGAGCCTAACGGGACTTATGTGACCCACATTCCTGGTTAGGGTTTTCATACCCTCATGCCAGGCCTTAGTTTGATCGCCCTTGGCTTTTCTCCACCCACTATGTACCTCGGCAAACATTGCGCGTCGTGGCAACTTATTTGGTGATATGCGTAACACATGCCCCAACCAACGTAATCTATGAAGGTCGAATACTTGCTTCATTGAACGACCGCGATTACCTAAAACTCTACGCCTAGCCTCAGCATTTTTCGGCCGGCTACCCCACCAGACTCGTGCAATGCGACGCAGACAGCGGTGTTCGAACACCGTCAATATATTTTTATCCCGTTCCCGTACTTTAGTTTTGGTGGATCTCTTTTATCTGCTGTGGAGTGCTGAACACGATTGGTTTGTGCTGGATATAAAAATTAAATGGGAATCTTAATTTATAGGTCGACCGACCTGCGCAATGCGTGTACAACTCTACAATTTGACTTATCCATGATTAACCCTCATCAGGTTGTATTAGCACAGTTGTCATAGCACCAACACACACCGGGTCCGGGGTTCAAACCCTGAGTGAATTGGCATTGCTGTGCACCACTGATGAGTGGAGCATGATAACTCCCTGAAAACTGCTTTGTTCTCGGAACATTAATCACAACAAAAATATTCGAACTCAAATGATGGGTCGGAACCAATACCCAATCAAGACGCCTGAAACGACCCAATTAACCAATAGTTTTCAATATGCATTTCCATATCCTCCTTTGTCCCGACAAATATGCATGCTTTTCTCTCAGTAGATGAATTCCTACATACTTCCATCTGTGTTCCGTCTCACTACCTGTGAAATCGCCATTTGGACGAGTAAAGTTATTGGAAGACAATCATTTGGGAATTCCGCATCGAGACAAATCTGTGCGTTTCTAACAGACCAATTAAAGATTATGCGACAATGAAATATTATCCAGCAAAATCAATCAATATATGTCATTACGTGTGTTTTCCCTTCCAATGCAATTACATCAAACGCCCAGACACGTTCAAAACATTGGCACATGGCAAGTGTTGTGAGCAGATGATTTTCATGATAACAGGTGCGTGTGGAGTATATGCGCGATTTAAAAAAAATATGATCTCATGTGTGATTCATTGGAACAACACCGAATGACAGTGTGTGTGTGTGTGATAGAGTAGTAACACCCTTTGTTTATGGTGAACGAATAAGATGAGAAATACGTATTGATAGTAAAAGTCGCCACTCCCTACACATTCTGGATAAACATTACGTGCAGTAAAACAGAGTAGAGTGGGGCTGCATATTTGGTACGAGCAATCCGTCTTGAATTAATAAGTACCAGGTTTCTCATAATCATCCTGCTCACCCCTGTTAGTTTTCGGCTGTGTTTAGTTTGTGTGCTATCCAAAACTGCACGCGATGCTTCTGGTTTTAGTACTGTTCTCCGGACACTATAATTTCGATTGCAACGCCACACATGATGAAAATCTTAGCAAACTCTTACGCTGACTAATCCAGCGTCACAGATCATGCACAAAACGAAATGTCTGAAGACGAGTGTGATGTACTCTACTCTGCTCCCTTTCTTGGTCAGTGTGACAACCATGCGCTGCTGCACTCGAGGTGGGAGGGAGGGGGGTTATCGCCCTCACGTGTTTCTGGCTTGATTATTTCGAACAGTCAGTTTCAAGATTACTCCATTCACTGAGAATCGGAGTTTTTGGAAGAACGCTAGGTGAACAAGGTCGAATGCATTGCATAAGCGAAGTACATCCGGTATTAACTCCTGGTGTGTACTTGGATCAGGAAGAAGTTTTGACTGAATCATATTCGAACCAAATCAACCACGAGCTTTTATCCCGATAAAAGTGTAATCACCGAGGTGATTTGTGTATTGTTATATTGTTTGTAAAAATTAAAATGTGCTGATGAATTTTTCCCCAGTATCATTCAATCAGATCCCTATTCACGTGAGTGTAATCCATTCACAATTCCAAACGACGTAATAGCAGCAAGGCGTAATCAATAAAGTGAGTCAAGGTTCTGACGAACGAAGACTTAGTTTTCTGTTCCCGATCTATCCAATTGTCTTGCCTGAATTAGGCTCTACCCGGACTCAACGCCGTAGTGCCATTTGCGCTCGTTACCGGTGCTCACCTTTTTGTCTTTGCTGGACTCGAACTATTACGCTGTCAGATCACGTCGATTGGTGCAACAATAACAACTCGACGGTTACTCGACCGTTCGCTGAAGTTGTTAATGTGTGGCTCTGTAAGGGTTTCTTCTGACTCCACCCCGGAACCTCACGGTTCAGGACAAAAAGTGCACAACGCTGCAGGGAATATCACTGCACACAAAATAATCCATGATATATAACTCATCAATGAAATCCCTCTCTCTCTCTTCCTTTCAACCAACGTCAGTGTTGAGAAAAGCAGTCTTTTTATACTGGTTGTTTTAGAAAATATTAAGGCTACACAACTGCTCTGCTTGCATTGAACTAGGACCGAAAAGACCGCCGCCGTAAATATTCCGCATTTTCTCAATTTCCGTGGATCAACCACATGGTTTTCGGACGATATGGGCCTGGATCCCAATTGTTTAACTTCTTTCCATTTAACATTATGTTCTGGACGGCGTGAGTAGTGTATCAGTCTCTTTGATTGGTCAATCTCATTGCTACCGTGCAATTTTTGATGCTGTCTACCCATATCTGTCGGTTAATATGCTTATTGTGTCACAGGTCTGCTAAGTCTATAACCTCTTTATTTAGCCGAAAGGTCAATCAGTTCGCACTGATCTAATGGTAGCGTGCCGTGCACTTCCGCTCTGTGCATGGACCATTTAACTCTTCGACGCCACAAACGTGATGAACGTCACACACACACAGTTGTCTAGGTATACTCTTTCCACCCTTGAAACACCTAGGTTGTATGTTGCTCGTTTATGTTTGACACTGTTTGACTGCTGTCCCTCTCCCCGCCCCGTTAAAAACAACTATCATCCCACTTATGGTGAGTCTGTATTTCAACTAGATTCGCTCACATGAACAACTACCTGCTCATACTCTATTTCAGGTCCAATGGCCCCGAAATATAGAACTCCCGTGTTGAACGCAATGACAACAGGAACTCGGGCTTCAGAACCGTTGATTCGCGCGGCCAGTTTATCCAACCTGGGCGAGTTTTGTCGTCTTTTGCGGCACTCGATTGCTCCAGTCCTCTATGAGGTACGTTCTTTATTCCTTCCATGCAATACGCAATTGGGCTGAGTTGGGCTGTTGTGAATGAGATTTGAGCTTAATTATTCCACACTTCCTTGTATTTTAAACCACGGTGACCGTTTGATGAATTAGTGTAAACCGAACTGCTATCAAAGTGGTTGTGGTTCAACGTATTTTCAGTGTTTAGCACCACCAACCATGCACGGTCGTGGGACTGACTGTTCTACTTTTTCTGTCTTTCCGTGACCGATTTTGGTCGACGGAGTAAATCTAAGAGATTCGGATCTAGCGCTCTGGCACAATGAAGATGTGGAGAACCAGATGTGTGTGTGTGTGTGTGTGTGTATATATANTATATATATGGTAACTGAGTAGATCTGCGAGTGGCCGCACTCACTCATGTTGTTCCCCGAATGCATGCCAGACAGGCAAACGGGCGAAGGAGCCAAAAGCACAGCTGTCTTTTTAACAGACCACCTGCAAATCACGATCCACATTCCGACCGCCTAGTTGAACATTCCGGTATTGATTTTGCTCCGTTAACCGGTAGCCCTAAACTTCATTCTTCTGCACCTCATTCTC